GAGGTTCACTGTGGCCTGTTAGTATCCAGTATCATAAAAAGTAAACAAGCAAAAAAATAAAATAAAAAAAATTAAAAAAATAAAAACTTACCTGATGGTCTTGATCTCCACCGGAATCCCATACTCCCAAACCCTCAACGACCGATCATCCGACGTCGACATGAACCTCCTGCTATCATCGATAAACTCGAGCGTGTTAATTGCCCCCAGATGGTGATCATACTCCTGCACCGTCTCGTTCCCCGCCCTCGAATCATACTGCACAATCCGATTGTCACTCAACCCCGCCAAAAACTCATGCCCATTCTCCGACCCAGGATTAAACTTGACCACATGCGGCGTCTTGCCCACATTAAACCTCTGCACGCATTGCCCCGTCTCCGTATCCCACAACCTCACCTTCCTATCAAACCCCCCACTCAAAAACCTCCTCCCCGCCGCTCCCCCCGCCCTCACAAAGTCCAAATCCGTCACCGCCTTATTATGCCCCTTGTAACTCCTCAACACCTCCCGATTCCGATACACATCCCAAATCTTGACCAACCCATCCGCGCCCCCCGACAACCCGAGATGTGACGATCCAGGAAACAACCTAAGACTGGTAACCGCACTCCCACTGCCCTGCCTCCCATGCGGCCTCCAGACATGCACCACCTTTTTCGGAATAAAATTCGTGACACTTCCCACCTCCTTCGTCAAAGAAATATCCAAATCCTGGGGTACATGCAAATACCCCCGTCCCAAATAATCAAACTCCTCCCCCCCCTCAAAAACACTTGTCTCCTCCCCTTGCTTCTCCACCTCCTCCCTCCTTTGCAAATTAACCTCCGGCGCCCTGATCACAGTCCCACTCCCCACCACCTCCTCCTCAACCTCCTCCTCATCACTCCCCAACTCCCCCCCTTCTTCCACCTCCACCTCCTCCCACCTCGTATTCTTATATTTCGCCCACGGTCCCAAATAAGCTCCTTCCCCATCAGCAACCGTCGCACTCCCCTTCCCCTCCCGTTCCCTCTTCACCTCCCTCGCCATCTCCTTCATCCTCTTACTCCCAACAAACTCCCTCTCCGGCCCCCCATCCCGTTCCACCGCCCGGTGTTTCGCCCGAAAGGTATGCTCACTAATAAACGTCTCCTCCGCCCGCCCAGTGAGGACGTTTTTTCGCTTGTCCCCTACGCTCGGCTCATCGCTTCCTTTGAAGGGGTTCGCTGGACCGAGCTGTGGTCTCGCGAGGTCCGTCCCAGAATACGGCACCACCGCGTGGGCGGATTCAGCAGCGGTGTGGTTCCGGAGAATCAGTGCGTCGCGGACGGGGAGGTCGGGGGGGTATTCGTTGAAGTCGGCCATTTTCACGCGCTATGTTTGATGATTTTGATCGTTTGTAATTATCGAGAGATATCACGCGAAGTTGGGTAATCGTCAAGGATGGCGATGATGAGGACGGTTGGTCGGTCGCAAATTGATTTGTTGACCTTGGAAACAGCAAGTTGCATTGCGTTGCGCAGCAGCCAAAAATGCGATAAGATAAATTTCTGACAGGGGTGTCACTGTGGCGCGCCAGATGTTGGCCCATGCTTTCCCTAAGCACAGACCACATCAATTGATTGCTGGGTCCGTTCATCAGTGACATCAACGTCGCCGGAGCCGGCATAAAAAGACAATAAATCACAAGAGTGGAAACCAAATCATCAACAGAGAGGTCTAGTATATTAATAAAAACCCCGTAACATGTTTGTGTACAGAGAGGTATCCCCAACAAAACAAGAAACTCCGGCACCCAAACCAAACAAGCCCAGTTTACAGGAGAAACTCGTCGTGACCTTGACGCCATCCCATAGCCCAACCCCCTTCCCCCCCTTTCTTCATTTCCGTGACCCGCCATTCGTTCCATAGAGAGAGAGAGAGAGAGAGAGAGAGAGAGAGAGAGAGAGAGAGAGAGAGAGAGAGAGAGAGAGTGAGAGAGAGAGAGAGAGAGAGAGAGTTTGGTCAGGCGCACACACGTCTATGAGCTTCGCCTACTGATATCCAGATTTTCGTCCATAGCAAGGTATCGTGGCCATCTCCATGTGCAAATTTATATCATCATCGCCTGGCCTCCTCCCTAAAGCTTTCCCAAGCCAGTCGTTTCCACCATCATCTGCCACCACCATTCACATTAATCATGTCGCCATGTTTCCATTATCAACGCATAAAATTGGGCACTCGTCGCCCGCCTTGGCAAGATGGGGCATCGTAGTTCGAGTCCTTCCTTTGCCGCGAGTTGGCTGTTGTCATTCTCCACGTCCCGTCGTCGCTCGCATGCACGGTGAGGCGGTCCGAGGCGAATATCATAGCTGAGCTGCTTAGTGGGCCTCGTCCCGGATAAGCGCAACAATCATGCTGTAGAGGTAAAAGAAGAACAGGATGAGATGGAAATCCGAGCTTGGTAAACGATTCCTGTGTACATGTTAGCCCTGCAACTTCGAGACAGATAATTACCTTCAGATCTAACCTTCTTGTGGACGGACCGCTTGCGGAAGATTTCAGTGGCGTCCAGAAGATGGGTGTTGTCAAGAATCCTGCGTCATGTCAGCTAACGTTCACCCTGCAGCGCATAGCGCCATGTCATGCGGGCACTTACTTCTTGATGTTCCAGGCGAGAAGCGGCAGGTTCAAAATCAGAGGCACCCAATATCCGTTGATCAAAAACAAAAAGGTCATAAAAGCGTGGACGGCAAACTCGGGAAGGATGTAGGTGTTGAGGCGGTTGCAGAGGTCGGTAGGGTTGATGTAATCGCTGCGCAGACGCAACAATGTTAACAATTGACAATCCCATCATGTCGTAAGCGCCAGGCTGCAATCGAATATGACGTAGCCGCATCAGGCCAGCGAGTTGTGCCACAACAAGCCAGATAGCCCACATAGCGGCCTATTCGCCATATTGGACAGTCCTGGGGGGAGAGAGCGACGTACCATTCCAGATCGCTGTACATGATGGTGAAAAAGACTTGAAGGAAGAGGTTGACGGCATTTATAATGACCGCAAACAGGTAAAGCCACGCCTCGCCCGACATCTTGACGGTTGGTTTTTAGATATGACTTGTTGCTTATAGCAAGACAGACACTCGGTCGCAAAGTCCCAGACACGGATGGCGGGATGTGATGCGAGAGGGGGTCGCCACGAGGAGGTCGGGCGCGCAAGCTTGTGTGTGGATAGGTGGGTTGTGCGTGGAAGGTCGACGAAGAATGTCGTGACTAGCTCCGCTATCTGCCGATGTCGGTCGCTGGGTTGAGGGAGGCGTGAAGACGGTTGACGGAGATGTCGGACAAAGTGTTGAGTGGGCGCGGTGAGGAGCGCAGGTGTAGGAGAAAAGGAGGACACTTGTTGGTGCAGGTGAAAGAGGAAGTGGATGGGATCGAGAGGGCTGACGGTTGGTGGTCTCGGCAAGGAAAGCTGTGCCAAAATGATGAAAGCATCTGCCTCGAGGCTGGTTTTTGCAGCTGGTCCAAGCTTCTTCTCAGTGTAACCCAACCGCATCGGCTTGTGAGAGGTCCACCGAGTCAAGGTGGGGTACATGTCACCGTCGCTATCTGGATTTATTTTCTGCACACATGACAGTTTATCTTTCTCTTCCCCTCTCGAGAATGTTTATTTCATGGTTTTGCGAAAGTGTTTCTGGCACGGTCACAGTGTGTCTCTTCGGCAACATTTCCCGGTGCACAAAACAACAATGCTGTGTGGCACAGGCGCCACCTCATCGGGAAGCCTCCGCCCTATCTCCGATGGTACGCCTTGTTCAAACACTTTTGGGGGGCAGTGGTATTTCTACCTAAACTGACAATCATTACCTCAACAACCTTCCTTAAGAAGAAGCAGGCATGGCGACTGGCCCGCCAGGCGATGTTGGTGTACGAGCAGTCAAAACCTCAACACCGGTCTCCGTTACAAGTAGGGTGTGCTCTGCGAACTAGTTAGCTATCGAATCTTCCGTCATCTGTTGGAAAAGCTTACCAAACTGGGCAGTCTTCTTGCCGTCAATAGTAGTGCTGGTCCAGTTATCGGGCCAAGTGATATCCCTATACTTGCCCAGCGCGATCATAGGTTCAATGGTGAAGGTCATGCCGGGCTTGCACTCGCCAACAGCCTTGTTCTTGGCATAATGAGGAATGTTGGGAGGGCAGTGGAAGATACGGTTGATGCCGTGGCCAACATAAGTACGGATAACGCTGCAGTCCTTGCTCTTGGCATGGGCCTCGATCGTGTTGCCAAAGTCGCGGAAGAGAGTGCCGGGCTTGACCATCGCAATCGCCTTGTCCAGACACTCGCGCGCAGCCTCAACGACCCGGACAGTATCAGGATCGGCCTTGGCGCGGTCGCCTACGTAGTAGGTCTCGTTGAGATCGCCGTGGAAGCCTTCGTGGTAGAGAGTGACATCAAGGTTGACAATATCGCCATCAAGAAGAACGCGCTTATCGGGAATGCCGTGGCAAATAACCTCGTTGACTGATGTGCACACAGACTTGGGGAAGTGGTTGTAGTTCAAGGGCGACGGATAAGACTGCCTGCTTGTTAGTCAAGCCCGGAATCTCCACAGAGAAAAGGTCATACGTTGCGCTCAATGCAGGCCTTGTGAACAATCTCGTCAATCTCGTCGGTGGTGATGCCTGGCCTCAGGGCAGCAGCCGCGATATCCAAAACTTCTCTCGCCAGACGGCAGACCTTGCGCATGCCATCCTGCTCCTTGGCGTTGAGCTGCTCAATCTTGTTCGCCCTAACGAGAGATCGGCCAGCCTTGGGAATACCATCTTCGGCGTAATCGGGGTGAGGTATCGACTTGGGGACTTCGCGCTTGGGAGAAAGAGGATAAACTGGTCGGAGGGGTCCAGAGAAGCGGAAGGTTGGGAATGGGTTGTAGTAGCCGGTGTCTGGATCGGGTTTAGAAACCACCTTGGGTACGAACAAGTTTCGGGGGTCAAATATACTGGTCTCTGTCTTGTGCATGGACTTGTGTGTGGCCTGTTGAAAGAGAAAAAGGTCAGCACGTTGCGCTGTTGGAAATAGCTTCAGCATAAGCGGAGGGGGTAACTGCGCACCCAGTTCTTCTTGAAGCAGTCCTGCGAGCAGAAGAAGCTGTCCTTGATACCCAAGCTCAAGCACTTGGGGCACTGGAGGGAGCTGGCCTCATTTTCGCAGTCGACACCGAGGCACTTCTTCTTCGTTGGGGGTTCTTCGGCCATGGTGATGGTATCTTTTTTGCGGGGTCTTGCGAAGGAGGGGCAACCGAGATTTGCGATGAAGAGCGCTGAAAGAGTCGGGGATCGATAGTTTGTTGCTTGTGTTGATGCTGGAGAATATCCTACAGTATTCAACAGCGCCGAGCCGGCAAGATTCAAATCTGCGCTTCAGTCACAACAAACAACAATGGGGGGGGACCAGGACCAGGCAAAGAATTGTACTTTTCAGGGCGCACCCAGAACAGAGCTTGTGCAGGGCGCCGGGTTGACAAGGGTCCCGTCCAAAATCGCGTGGACGGGCCTGGATTCGTCGCCGCAAAAACGGCACCGTGGCGTCGGGTTGTGGCGGGAGTACCAGCCGGCAGCTTACATAAGTCTTAAACGCCCGCGTAGGCCCGCCGATGGTAGCCGGTGGAGTTGGCTCGGCATCTGTCAGCCCACTTCTTCCAATCATCTCAACCCGAATGAAACAACTGCTGGAATAACTCAAGTGTTTTTTGAGATATTTTGTTGCGGGCTGAGTCTGGAAAATGGAGAAGAAGCAGAAGATTGTGGTGATTGGGGCTGGGCCTGTCGGGTCACTGGCAGCTCTGTATGCTGCTAGCCGTGGAAATGACGTCGAAATCTACGAACTGCGGGGAGGTAAGCATGGGCTTTTTTCTACTGCTTTTGAAGCCATCACCGACCGTTCCACTTGCCCCTCATTCGCCGCTCTCACTTACACCCGACCTGGCGACACTCAAAATCAATTCAATTCTCCTGCTACTTGTTGATAGAGCACACCATTGACAATGACCATGACTAGACCTCCGTGACCCGTCGACGACGCCACTAAACTTCACAAAGTCCATCAACTTGGCCCTGTCAGAGCGTGGCTTGAATGCTATGCGCCACGCAGGCCAACCAAAGCTCATCGACCACGTCAAAGCTGCCACCATTCCCATGAGAGGCCGCATGATTCACGGAAAGAAACCAAATGGTCAACTTTATGAGGAAGCCCAAGACTATGATATCCATGGAAGGGTAGGCTGGCCTCACTTCCTTGTCTCCCATCTTATACTGACCTTTCTATCCAGGCAATCCTCGCCATTGACCGCGGTGGCCTCAACAAAAGACTGCTCGATAGCCTCGAAGAAATGCCCAACGTCACCTTCTTCTTCAATCACAAGCTTACAGGAGCCGACTTCAACAAGAACAAGGCATGGTTCGAGGTGAAAGGTGGAACTTCATCAGGGGAGAAAGGGCAGCGAGCCCGGGAAATTGAGATCGATTTCGACTTTATGATTGGTGCCGACGGCGCTCACTCGGCAGTCCGATATCACCTTATGAAGTACACACGCATGGACTATGAGCAACAGTACATCGACACGTTGTGGTGCGAGTTTCAGATCCAGCCCAAGGAAAACCCAAAAGATGATAGCTTGATGTCCAAGTTCCGGATATCGCCTAATTATCTGCACATCTGGCCAGGGAAGAAGTTTATGTTTATCGCCATTCCCAGCGACGTAAGATTAGCTCCCTTCCCTCCTCCCCCCTACATCATGCTAATCATCGCTTTTCAGGACGGCACCTTCACCTGCACCCTCTTCGCCCCCGCCGAATTCTACACCTTTCTCGAATCCGACCCCTCGGGCGCCCACATCCCCGGCTTTTTCGACACCTACTTCCCCGGCGTCACTGACCTCATCCCCCCCGCCCAATTGATCTCCTCCTTCCACTCCAACCCCCACCTCCCCCTCATCAGCATCAAATGCAAGCCCTACCACTACAGTTCCTCGGCTGTTGTCGTAGGCGACGCCGCTCACGCCATGGTCCCCTTTTACGGTCAGGGCATGAACGCCGGTCTGGAAGACGTCCGCATTCTGTTTGACATCCTAGACAAACACACACGAATGGACGAAGAAACTGTTGATCACGACCTTGCCTCGGCACGGGAAAGAGCATTGGATGAGTACTCCCGTGTTAGAGTGCAGGATGCTCACGCGATCAATGATTTGGCACTGCAGAATTATGTGGAGATGAGAGCCTCGGTTTTGAGTTTGAGTTATCGGTTTAGGAAGTGGCTGGAGGAGCAGCTGAGTGTTTGGTTGCCTGGGTTGGGGTGGCAGACGAAGTATTCGAGGGTGAGTTTTGGGAATGAGAGGTATAGTGAGGTTGTGAGGAAGAGTGAGCACCAGGGCAGGGTGCTGATGAGGGCGTTGACGGGGCTGTTGTTTGGGGCTTTGGGGGGGCCGTTGGTGGCGGTGGGGGTGGTGATGGCGGTTCGGTATCGGAGGGCGGTGGATGTGGGGTTGAGGGCGGCGATGGGGAATGTGGATAGTATGGTTGAGTATATGACTATGAATAGGTAGGGTGATGGTGGCGATGAGGATTTCTTCGTATATAGAGAATGGGAAGAGACACTTGAGCATGAAGAGTTAGATATATCTTACTGCTGTTGATGATGCCGATCAGGTCGATCAGTCGTTTCAGTTGTAGGGTAAGTGGTAGTGTTAGTGTTGCAGATGTTGAGGGTTCGCGCTGAAGCCGAGCGAGCAGGTGAGATTGCAGTTCTCATAGGACGGTTTTCTTCGCGTACACATGATTGCAGAAACAAAAAAAGCTTGCGGTTCCATTGATTCCATGTATTCTTTATACAACTAGTATCCTGAACCCGTTACACTCATTCTCGCTTTCAGATTCATCACTATCCGGCTCAACATAACCTCCACGGAATAATTTACCGTTTTGGGCATTTGTTCCCACCACTGGTTTCAATTCAGCCCTCAGTCGCTTTTTGGAAAAGTATACCCCACTCATGAACACCACAACGCCATTGCTGTCGTCATGAACCTCTGTCGCGAGATCACCTTTGCCGGAGGTCCATGAGCTCAACGGTGTCAGTGTCACCATGCCCGGAGCCGCAGCCCCGATGCCAATCTCGACAGTGGAAGAGTTGGAGAACATAACGACAACGCCACTTCGAGTCGTGGTATACGTCTTGTTCACAACCCAGATTCCATGTTGTTCGACGATCTTCCTGTGCCGCCTTAACATCTCGACCCTGTTCTCTTTGACCCATTTCAAGGTAGCCGACTCGTCACAGACACGGTGTCTCAAGACAGGATTTTGGATCGTGAGAACCGCACCTTCGTCCTTCTCACAGATGAACACCATCTTGGGTGACGGTGAGATTGGCGATAATATGCTGGGAGCGCGTGGTTAGACCTCAAAGGTCAATAGGTATTATGCAAAGCAGGGGTGGGGGGCATCCTACTTGGCCGCGACTTCACCGCCTAACTCACGGGAGATCACGGATCTGGACTTTTTCGGCCCCCATATCCAAGCTAGATGGCTTCTCATGCCTGCTTGAGACAAGTTCATCATCGGGTGCTGTCCGTCCTCTCGAGGTGACAAGGTCTTTCCCAGCGGTAAGGTCAACAATGAAATGCCAGTCACCGTTCGAGTCGAAGTATCCGCAGCAGCCGGGATACAGTTCATCAGTGGTAAATTTCTTATATAGTGCCCATCCGTAGGGGTGGTCCTGTAGAAGGCGGGCATAAACACGATCGAGTCGTGAGTTGTTTGACATAATGCTGACCTTGTCACCGCCTGACAGGAAGGGGACAGAACACAGGTGGGAAAGAAACCTTTCGTCTGCACTGAGGGTAAGATTAGTGAATTGATCAACGAAAGTTTTTTTTTGATTTTTTTGGATGGATGGATCTCGAGACATTCCAATGCTTTCGGAATCTGGCTTCCTTTTTCAAGTCGTGCCCAATGTGGAGCAGGGGGCAATTGCACTGCCACAGCGGCTCTTTGCCTCAGCGATCTCGGGCTGCGTAAACAACGATCATTGGCTCAAAGCTGTGGCTATGGCTGCTGTAATCTGTCTGCTGTTCGAGACATGACCGCTGCGTAGCTGGCGCTGGTGTTGCGTCAGCACACAGAATACGTAGACTCCGTTTGTGTCACGGGTGCACAAGACTGACTCTATCAATCCCCAGAATGAATGAGCGACGAATGAGCTGAGGCCAAACACATAAAACGCCTTTCTAGATAACGATAGGTTATAGGTATGAATGGGAATACACATCGCCCCAATGTCATGAACGCCTTTCGTGCACAGCTTCAAGCACCAAAGTGTACATATGGAACCCACAATGCCTTCTCTCGCGATGACCCCTGGCACAACTCAAGGTTCCTATCTCCCCTCGTCCCTCCACGTCCGGCTTCCTCCTCTTGCTGGACCCACTCATCTCTCAAAGCAACGACCGCACAGTGAAGCGCAATTCTAACCGAGACATCGTCCAGCTCTGTTGTTTCCAGAGATGTATACACCTTCTTGGTCATGTCGACACATAACTGGTCATCGACGTCCCAGAGCGTGGCGATGATATGTCGAAACCCGGCAACTTGGAATGCGGCAGCGAGATGTAGCTCATCCGTCGCAGTCTCATTCCCTACACGGCCTGTACCGCAAGCGGACAAGTAGGCCAGGAACGGAGAGTTGGAGTTGAGCGCGGTCTCGACCAGCTCGTTAATGGCCAGCTCGTCGCCGCTGTCGAGGATTAGAGCGCTTCCGAAGGGATCTTGCTTGTCGGCTTTACCATGTCCTATAAAGTGTAAGATGCAGCATGACTTGAGTCTCTTGACTATATCATGAACGCCGTGGTATCGCGGGAAGTCATGACAGTGGTACACCTGACAAACTGCCTTGGCCTCATCTTCGGCGTGGTGGAGAGCCTGCTGACCCGGTGGCCTCGGTGCGGAAACTATGAGGGCCTTTTGCGACCGCAGTGTGCCAGCTAGGTGGTCACGACGCTGTTGTCTGGTGCGGATGAGAACGTTGACGGACAGGCTGTACGAGGACACAACCATGTCAAGGGCTGTCGCGGAATTCCGGCGGAGATGATGGCCGCAGCGTGCAAGGGAAATCCGATCAGTGAGCCGGTGGGAATCCACCAAATGTGTGGCATAGAGCCTGAGTTGCCAGTGCCAGCGGGGGGACCATGGTAGCCGAGGTAGTCCAACACAGGTAGGACGATGGTGTCCCAGAGCCAGCTGAGCGTCTCGACCGACTGTGGATCTGAGCTGCGGGCTTGGATGGATTGGATATCGAGGTTGGGCAGTTCAAGACTTGATATTTTGTCCGCCTGAATCACCAATGCGTCGCAGCGGTGCGACGTAACATTTAGTGTAACAATTGGTCCATCCTTTGCCGCATGCAGCATATCAGTCTCGGTTGCATGGCTCATGAAGCCCTCAAACATTGGCTTCTTGCGAATCGACTCAATCGCTCTGGTCAGCTTGTCCTCGTAGATCCGGCGGGCATATTGAGACCTAAGCCCGACACGCTACCTGTGATTTTTGATATCTTCCACTGCCCTCAAGCGCGCGCCATGGCACTGTTTTCGTCAAGAAAAGCGCGGCTTTTGGTGAATTGTTCTACCAGCTCAGGAGTAGACTCGCTCAAACTGGAAATGTCACCTCCGCGTGGATTGAGGAGTGAGCTTGACAGTACCGCTCGACCCGTCTCGAGTAGGGTCATGGCATAGGATGCGCCCTTATCGAAATGGAGAGCAGACGCTGCCGAATCTGAGCCGATGCCGAGAGCTTGACTAAGAATGCGCTGCTTGTCCTGGGTATTGAGAGAGTATGAGATCGATACTGGTACGAGATTGGCACAAGTTTCAACTGCAGCCTCCGCACGATCGCGATCGCAGCTGTCGAATACGCCCGGCAGCGACAGAAATTCCCTCCCAGCTAGGATTCGGACCTGGGCAAGAGCCCACCTTTGCGTCAAGGTGGTGAAGAACAGGTCTTGTGCCTGCCGAAGACTTTTTCCATCGCGGAGACGATGGAACCTAAAAAGGTGAACACGCGCAAGATTGTAGAGGAGGGTTCTGGGCTTGTGTTGATTGCACCCTCCAGTAACTCAATGGCTTCATCGGTTTCTTGGCGCTGTCGGTTGGAGGTCGTACAACCATTGTCCACCAGCAGAGCTGCCAAGTTGTTCATGGCACACCTGGTCACTTCCTCGCTATGGCGGCCTGGGTGTTGTCCAAGCGCACGGGTTGCCAGTTGCACTGCTTCCGCTAAGTCCCCGCGATCACCTTCCCCGGAACATCGATCACCTAACAATGCGGCCAGATTGTTATGACGGCCTGGAAGGTCGTCGGAGGTGTCCGTGTTTTTGATGACTTCGCGCATCAGAACAATAGCCTCGTCGATATCGTCCTTGTTGCCGAGACGGAGGTATCTGTCCCCGAGATAGTTCGCGAGATTGGTTCGAAACCTGGATAGCAGGGAGGATGGCGCTCCTATCTCGGTATGGGTGCCCCAAGCGTTGTCCTCCTTATCGGAAATTTGCAGTGAGTGCATCTGTTCGTCTGAAAAAACGGTCATGGCGCCGTTCATCGCGGACATTGCGTGCTCAATGGCCTCGTTGAGATCTTTGATCGATCCGGTCCGTAGATACATCTCATTGAGCAGAACACCTGCCACGTCTAACCACTGACGGCGAAGATCGTAAGGGAGGACGCCGTCTGACTTTTCAAGTGCGGCAGTATTGGCATTTTTGAGGTTGTGGAATTGATACCGGCCATTTGGCTCTGCAAACCCGGCTTCAATGCCTTGTGAAAATAAAACGGGAATGGGAATAAGACATCCCTCCAGTCCAAAAGAGATATGTAGCGCATAAGCGGCATGTAGCCCATCAACGGTAGTACGTAACCCATAAACGGCTTCCAGTGCATTGACCATGTGCTCAACACTTCGTAAACGTAAATGTGGAAGGTAATTCGTGCGGGGTCGCGACGGAGAACCAGTGCTTGCTTGAAAGGGTGTTGAACTGGAACAATGCACTACTCTCAAGCTGGAACCTAAAACGGTTCGAGCGCCTGAAGTCTGCGGCTGGAAGGTGGCACCAGGCTGGGCCGAGCCTATTGGTATGCGCATTTTAGGTGTCTCTTGGTCCTCGGGTCTTTGGCGCAGCTTTTCGGCTTGGAGTTCTGGCCGAAGTAGGGATCACCTCATGCAGTCGAGAGGGGGAAGAGTACATTTATGAGAACTCACGAGTCCCGTCAAGAGACTAGAATCCGCCCGACGGCATGGAGCAGCCTAATATAGGTACCTAAGGGACTCTCTAACAAATCAAAACATTCAAACATCGGTTGGGTGTGGATGAATGGCAGCACCTGGCATTGGGCGCTTGGTGGACGGGACTGAATATTCAGCTGAAACCACGGTCGTCGGGCACTCGCGCATGATAGGTTTGTGTAGTTACCTTAAGCGCTGCTCAACTGACAGGCACTTGTATAAAAAGGCGCTGGCCTCTGCAGAGCAGAAGCTGTGTTCCTTGACTTCTTTCATCTCGCACGTACTTCTATCCTTTTTTTTACATGTTATATCAGAACCTTCCATCCCAGACCACGTGTTCCTCGCAGCCATTCTTTCACATGGGCAACCCTGCAGAATAGCAGCGCTTTGCTCTGCTCGTCGGGATCGATTCATACCCAGAAAGCCACTGCCCAGAACTCGGCGCAGTCAAAATGCAACGCCTCGCTCCACGACCTTCAAGGTTATGTCAATGATGTCCATCTGTGGAAGGATCTGCTTCAGAAGAAATTCATGTTCGATAATATCCGAACCCTGACTACAAGCTCAGGGAATGCTACTCAGCTTCCCACTTATTCCAACATTAAGGACGAGTTCAGTGACATACACGCCAATACCAAACCTGGAGATATCTTTTTCTTTTTTTTTTCGCCGGTCACGGCGGACTCCTTCGCGCAGTAGCTCAATCACCGCCTGGAAGGCACTACGATCCATCCCTCCTCACAGCCGACTACTGCACCGGAAAGCGCGCTATAAGAGGGTGGCAGCTCAACAGCTGGCTGGAAAGCCTACACAAGAAGCAAGTTCGGGTGGTTGTTTGTCTCGACAGCTGCTATTCTGGCGGATCATGGCGGAACGGGCATCAAGGGCGCACTCCATTGAGCTTGAATCAAGACATGGACGTCTTCCCTCCCGATACCATCCATGAGAAGCAAGCGACCTCGTCGGTAAGCCGCAACACAGAACTCGACACGTCTTGGTCGATCAATCCCGATGGCTTCACCTTGATGGCTGCTTGCGATAGCGACCAACTGGCTCAAGAGACGAAGGGGTCGGATGGAAAAATGTATGGTGCATTCACATACCACCTCATGGACGTTCTCAAGAATACGCAACCCAACGCTACACTTCCATCTTACAGGCTGCTTTGTGACCAGATCCCTGAAGCTCTATCAGGCAGCGGCCTTGACCAGAAGCAGACTCCTGGAGTTTACGGGCGAGACAGACTTGCTTTCTTGGGGAATCACGAAGCTTTTGGGTTTGCCCCGCTCGTCTCTGTCATGGAACAAGACGAAATCATCGTCCCAATGGGTCGGCTCCACGCGGTCTACCCAGGTACCGAGTTCAGACTTTGTTTCCCCTGGGACAATAATGTTGTCCGGGTCACCGCGGTTGAAGAATTGGTGTGCCGTGCGAGGCTGTAGAACGGTTACAGGCCACGTTACGCTATCGTTTAACCGCTGCAAGACACTCGCCTTAGCGCTCGGCTTTCCGGGACTTCGGATTGCTTCAGGGGGCCGAGTTCCGTTCCGGCAACCGTGGTCCCTAAGCACTGCTGATTTAAGCTATTGTATTGCCTCTAAGGCCCTATAATATACAGGGCTTAGATACACTGTAAAATCCACAAACAAAAGCTGTATTTTAACATTATATATTACTGAAGTATTTATTTATATTAATTAATTCTTTTATATATATAAACTTACTAGTTTTCTAGATTATTAGCTTTTACAAATAATCCTATCCTGGATCATTGACTCTTAGGAATAATCCCGCGCTGGATCATTGACTTTTGGCAATGATCCCACAGGTAAGGCCTTTCCCCGTCCTGATAAGTTCTACTAACGATTAGCTGTGCGTGTCGTACCCCGCACACGGTCCGTTCTGCTTGTTGGCTTAACTGTGACATTAAGGTCTATATTCCCACGGAAAAAATACACAGGAATATAGGGCTGTATCGAATAATTAAAGAAAATAAACTAAGCGGTTATACTTACTACAAAGTAAAGTTATGACCCCTAGGTTAGACTATATTTTAGGGGTATCTTTATATGTATAATTAGCCATTACCCCCCTTATCGTATGTCTAGCTATTCAATCAACCTTTATAACTATTGGGGCATCTGTGGAGTTGGATTTGGAATGAATAGGGCCGTCAAGGCGTTTGGGAACTACCCTGAGTACCCGACAGTATTTTAGGAAAAGTAAAAAGCCGACTCACAGAAAGGACATATTGGTTATGTGGACCGAGGCATAAACAGAGGGATGGAGACTACTTTCGAGAACTCAAGGGCCGATAGGTACCTAGGGATAACAACTGCGAAGCCTAGACAACCCGGGCAAAGAAACACTAGAGTGGTACTAAGAATAACGTTCCCACTAAGCAATAATTACGGCCCTCACCACAGTCTCTTTTCCCTCCCAAGCCCCTTTCTCTATCCTCCCAACAGCCACTCTCTCCGCCACAGTTTCCCCCTCATCCAACCACTTGATCCACATGACATTATAAAACTCATAAAGACCCTTGTTCCTCGCCTCTGGCCAAAGCGGAAGTGACCACTCATCAAACACATCAGCAAGGGGATGCAGCACCAACTCCTTCTCTTTTGCCTTGCGCGCTGTCAACTCTTCCATCAACGGCACCGGGAAAGGGAAGCTCAAGTCTCGCTGGAGCATGTCGAGGCGTTCTTCCTTTTCGGTTTGAGCAGACCCGGGTGACTGAGGCTGCAGCTCCACTTGTCCTCTCGAGAGCTCGATGAGGTCGACGGGGTTGGTGGGGATGTGGTGGCGGATGTCTGATTCCGACGTGTTGAGTCTGAGATGTCCGGCGAGGTTTCCTGACTGGTCTAGAAGGGCAAGGATGGCGCAGTTACCTGCGAAAGCATGGTAGGCTTTGGGGTGGAGGGTCCAGGTGGTGTGTTTGGATGTGCAGTGAAGGTAGCGTGATCGTTGGGCGACGGCTGGTTGTGGCTGGTGAGGACGGGGAAGGGGGATTGGGCGGGAGAAAACGGTGTCGGGTATAGATGGGTGGATATAATGGCCGTCTGACTCTTTCCAATTTTCGCTATCAGGGATATGTGTACGAGTCTCGAGGGAAGAAGCGGGATGCCGAGGACTGTCCTTTGTTTCAGAGTGTTCCCAGTGAACTGTTGGAAACACTTGCCATCCACCCTCATGTTGCGAAGTGGCAAGGTAGCTCCAGCCTGCTGCCCAGCTCTCGCTTTGTACATTACCTCGATAGGTCAACCAGCTCCAAGACGGTAATACCTCTTCTCCCATTTGGACCTGGTTCGAAGGATGGCGTTTCTCCATTGGCGAATAAGGTTGCCATAAAAGAGCAGCATCAAAGAAACAGCCCCCAGGTAAACCACTGATCAGTCCGCCGGGGAATGTTGCTGCGAAATGATTTCCCGCACCAGAAAACGCGTCATGGACATCTTCAGCGAATGTTAAGAATCTTGGGGCAAAAAGTGCTGAGAGCCGAGCAAAGCGATGAAAGCTGGGCCAATGGTCTAGCCTTGAGAAAAGAAGTGTGTTGGTTGGAATGGAGCTCAGACGCTGTTGATGTTCATGCAAAGACACACACAGGCATTCCCTAGTTCTTATCAGCCAGATCTTTCGGCCACTCTCAGAGTTCAGAGAACCCACCAGTTTACCGTATTGTTATGAAACACCACACTCCTCTTACTGAACAAGTACTCCTGGAAGGTCCACCCCCTCTGGAACCACACCGTCCGCAACAAGTCAATAGAATGAGAGTTCATCACCTCCCTATTATTCACCGGCCGTCTCCAAGGCGTATTTCCCTCCTCCTTTCTCTTTCCAATCAACCCCACCCCAGGCGCCAACGTCAACAACGCCCCCCACCACGACCCCTTTCTACTCCTCTGCAAAGGCCTCGAACTAAGCGGTCCACTAGCATCCGCGCTCTGCGCCGCAACAAGTGTAAAATACGCACCCTCATAAATCCCTGCCATACCCATCAACTGCCTCCCCTTCTCCTCCAAATCATCCTGCACAATACACAACCTGTCCACCCAGAGATATCCCACCCCCAACTCCCCAACAAGCCTCACCGCATCAGCTATCGTCCTCGGCAACCCCCCCACCTTATCCAACCCCCCAACCTGTCTCAACTGCTCCAAATTCCCCTTGACCAAACAAATCGACCCAGTGTCACAGCCTGGACCCCACACATAGCTCAGCGCTACATACTTCCCCTTCTTATAAGCAACAACACACCTCCGTTTAACATCCACCACCCAAGCAGGTTTCGATCTCTGTTTCCGACTCTGGGAATGGCACCAATGACTCCCGTCACACTCCCCCAGCCATCCTTCAATCACGGCAACATCTATCGGTCTCGACAGCGAATCCGCCGGCCTCCATGCCCCGTCAAGCGGGGAATCGTCCGTCTTTTCAATGTAGGGCAGGAAGGGGACCAGGTGAGGGGTCACACCGTGGTAAGGCATGTTTTTGTTTAGGAACTCGGGCATGCCATCTTTTTCTTTTCAGGATCCAGGCAAGAGATGGAAGACAGGAAAAGAAAATCAGATTGTATAAAAGGTGTCAGGAGAAAATATGAGAACCTCGGCTGAAGAGGGCGAAAAGAAGCGGGGGGTTCGGAAGAATCGCAGCTGAGTCGGGCGAGTTTGGTTAGGCAGATTTTGTGCTAAAAGGTTATGCATGCATAGGTGGTGGCTGAAAAGGGGCTAGAGTTGGTGAGCTTATGCAGTGAACGTTGCACAACCCTATGCAGGCCTGAGTCTTTGTGCGTTGCTTTGTTCTACACGTCCTACGCATCATTCCACTTTTGTGCATACAACCCCTTTTCGTCCCTGTTATCGGTCACAAAGCCAATAAACACAATGAGCATCAATATTTACACTTTCTCATAACTATTTACACGAATCATCCCCCCTTCGAGCTGCACCTAGTTCAAGCACTGGGAATACCACTGGTTAGAAGCACGGCACGTCCCCTGGCTGCAGCACGTTGGCCCGTTCCACCCGCTGCCACCGCACTGTCCCCAAAGAGCCGCGCAGTTGCCGCCCGGGTTGCTGGGTTGAGTGGGCTGAGGCGTGACGGGAGTGGTAGGGTTGGTGGGAGTGGTGCCGCCGCCGGACTGGTTCAGCCTCGCGCGGACAAAGGTGAGGGCTTGCTGTCCGTACTTGGTGCCGTAGGCCTGGTGAGCCTGCTGGTCATTGCCGGTGCAGCAGTAGGGGTCGACGCTGTCGCAGTAGTTTTGGATCTTGCTGGCCGAGTTGGAGCCACAGACGTAGCCGCGGGCGCGGGCGGCGAACTGGTTTCCACGTTAGCAACCACTCTTGTTTCGTGAATCGGGATAAAACTTACACCCTGAGCTTGGCATGTGCCGACGTTGTAAGAAAGACCAGCAACATATCTGGGAGAGCCCATAAAGATGGCCGCCTTGACCTGGTTGAGCGCGCTGGCGGAGATGGGAGGGGTGGTGGTGTTGATGTTGGAGCCAGCATCCGGCCCACCGCAGACGGCGTTGTCCATGATCTGACCACCTTGGGAGTAGCCAACCAAGACGAACTGAGTGTTGGGGCAGCGGGTGTGGAAGTTGTTCACAGCCGTGGCGACGGCGTTGGTGCCTTGACGAGCAGACTCGCCATACTGTACACCGCCGCAACTGGCCTGACCGCCGCAAGCAGGATACTGGATCGCCTCGCTGGTGGCACCGGGGAAGGCCTGCAGAATGAGGTTGACAACCTGACCGGCGGTGCCGAAGCCGGGAGCGACAGTGGTCTCACGGGCACCGAAGACGTGGATCTGGGGGCATTGGCGCTTGGCGAGAACAGCCGCCTCGGCTTCCTCAACGTCAATAGGGGAACCACTGACGACCAGGGAGTGGGCGAGCAGGAGGAGAAAGGCGTTCTTTGGTGATGGCCACATGGTGATTGTTTGTTCCGGTAGTTGACCGGGATGTTGTTTTCCAGCTGCAGATTATTCAGGAATAAATCAGATGTAGACGAGGCAAGCCGTCCCTTTTATACTCCAAGCGGCCATGTCAGGGGGAGGAAACAAGCACCACGATCTGCATTGACTTCCCTAAACATATTGCCGGTCCCCATCGCGACTGATACCATGACGCACACCCTCCACGACCCTTGGTAGCATTCCGTTGCTCCGCCGAGCTCGCGTACGGAGTTTATCGTGCTGGTAAAAGTCGTCGAGTTGTATTCCTCTGCCAATTTGTCCCAAGAAACAACCCGTGACGCCGGTCGTCCCACCAATCGAGAATATTTCGAGAAGTATTAGTGTGTTATGCGGCCAGCCTGCCAGCGGAGTGTGGATCCACAGTGGTAGCAGACGAGGTTACATCCCAGGAGAATACCCGCGAAGAACTGTTCTGGAGCATACACCTTGTTAGCCTCATAGATCCGCTTTCCCAATTTCGTTAGACTGCCGCTCGTGAAAGCTTGGTCCTGGTACCCGGTTGTGTGTTGCGGTGGCTTGTTTCCCGCCCAAGGGAATGCGGGGGGTCACATCGCAAGAGGAGGGCCAGAGGTTTCGACTTTAACACATTTAGCCTGAAATCGTCAGGCCCCGGCTGCCGGCAACGTCTGCCACGGGGCCATCGGGCTGCTGCCACGCATTGGACCCGCTATCACATTTCAGGACACGGACGAATATCCGTATGATCAGATTGGGCTGGTGAGATGTCGGTCTTGTCCGAGACGGCGATGTCTTGAAAGGCCCAAGTCAAGACCCTGCACTTCAACCATGTTGTCCATGCTCATCTTGTCTCATCAACCTCAAACAATGGCAAAATATCCGCAAATCCGAAGCGGATGCCTCTCCGTTCATGAAGCCGAGCAAGGAACAAATTCCAACATGATGATACTGGGTTGAGGAGCCTTTGAATGGGCGTAGTATGATAGGGACATTGCTTCCGTGCAAGACGCACACAAGATCACCGGCCTGGGAACCTCGGGGGCACATCCCCAATGGCCGTCTTGTGCCTGAAAAGGAACCATTCCTTGGATCAAATACCTAATCTCACCAAATGAGCCGAGGATGTGATGACTGTCGTCCCAGTTGACCCTAAACCACTCCAGTTTCGGTTCAAAATTGCTTTGTTGAATCTCAGAGGCTGTCCACAAGTTTTCCAGTATCCATTCTAGAGTGTTGAATGTAGATGTCCGTTTCCCTAGCTGCTCTGCCAAAAAGCCACCGAGCCCCGAAAAGTCTGTCGGGTAGGTCGGCTGAGTTCTGGCCCAAGCTGATATGAGTATGACCAACATTGTTCGATACCCTTTGAAGAATACGACGTCACTGAGTGGCGTGGTAAAGTCACACTAAAGTACGCGCGTGAGAGTAAGAAGGGGTGGGATTCTGCTGTTGTGTGTCCGGTATTGAGAGACAAACTTGACGATGAAGCGCAAAGGGCTGTCGAAATAGCGGAACTGTTTAACGGCAACGAACGCTCGGGGTTACTGGAATCGGGCAAAGGCAGCAAAGCACATCGGTGATCTGTTGAACCATCCGACCAAAGACTTTCAAGCAGTCGTCGGCTAGGCCGGGTAAGACAGGAACAGGCCCAAAACCTTGGTCAGCGTTACCAAGCAGCCATGGGGGAGTACCAAGGGGCTTTTTCGCTATGCCGGAAAAGTGGGGAACCCATGTTGGACAGCCAGCTGGGTAGTCAAAGAAGCCGATACCTGCCATGAAGAGAAACTTGAGTTCACAGAAATTGGGGGTCTGGTGTGTTTGAGACTGGTAGTCTTGTCCATGTCCTTACCCACTCCGTCCATGGGCCATACTGTGGCTTGCCATGCGTGCAATCCGGGTTGATAGCCAGGCCGGTTACACCAAGCATGCCGTTGACATAGTCTTTCTCATTTGTGGCCTGGAGCTTGGCAGCGGCGTAGGCAAGGTCATAGACTGTCATTCTTGCATTCTCGGTTGGGCCTGGTTGTTGTGAGGTGTCGGCAAAGGTAAGCCTCCTGTTTCGTGCGTGTTGGATGGTGTATACCTTCTCCCGACGGGGTGGAGTCTTGAAGATGGTCCTCCAAATCCTCCGGTGGAAGAAGGTCGGGGCATGACCGCAGCACCACCGGTCAATTTGGCGGACAGCATCGGCAATGTGTTCCAGCATTGAGTATGGTGTAGCTGCAAGCGGGCAGGCCAGCAACAAGCGGTCTGCGAGCACCGCTTCCTGAAAGATCGATATCTGATACCAATAAGGCAAATCCAGCAAAAGCCACACGGCAGACCAGATGGTGTTTCCTGGACCGGGGGCGGGATGTTCCGTGTCGGTCGGGTCTAGGTCGCAGAGATGAGAAAATAGAAAGCTAAGCCAAGCCAAGTCTTTTTCTGTATTTGTCCCTCCCATTCGCCAGCGGGCCTCATTTCGGACATGGTCTTGAACCATGGACCGAGGCCAACGATGCACTCGAGTGCCTTGGCTACACGATCCGGGTCAGTTGTGCCTAACCAGCCGATGGCGAGTTCGGCTGATGCGTAGAGGGTGGCCACAGTTGAACCTGTGAGGCGCGTTTGGCATTATCACTTTGGTCGATGCCGATGCCATCAGCCCAGAGCCCGAGCGTGGCGGGGTCCCTGTCGCGAAATTCGGCTTGCCAATGTGTCGTGACAGGCTTCAAGGCCGCATGGAGAGCTTGAAGTGATGTTGACTTGGACACCGTTGACGAGAATGGGATCAGTCACAGACAATGCAGTGAACGAAGACACATCTTGGACCAAGGCAACTGTGTCGAGGTGGCAATTGAGTCGGCCTTCAACCTCACCCGCAATCCTCAAGAGCCGTATTTCCTTTCGAGAGGGGTCAAGAGGCTGGTTAACGTCGTGGCGGGCGGCATCCATGGTTCTGGCAAGCACGCAGCTGCCTGATGTCGCTCGCCTTCCAGGTTGAGGATATCAATTACCCCGCAAAATTCCAAGGCAGCTGCGATCAGCCGTGTTCAGTTGCACTCAGCCTTGCACAAGCATGAACAGCCAATCAGAAATATTGGCGACATTTTGCCACTTTTACACCTGGGAGACTTGAATCAATAGTTCATATCATGGCGTCAAGTGAGTCGAATACGAGTCGCTAACTTGACAAACAGCCCATACTATTACAAGTACGCACCCGTTTCGTGAAGGCTGTCATGAGATTTCAACCATGGTGTCTGGTTGGCTACACGATAGAATGCACCACCCATTAAATATTTTTGAAAGTTGAGCGGTTCAAGTATTTCAAGACGTGGACCAATATTCTACTCTTAGTGACTTGGTCTGAGGCATCAGTCAGGTTATCTTACTCGGAGCGTGACATTCTAGTGATGTGACAGTCTGGTGGTGATGGTGTTGTCAATATTGACGCAGGCCAAGCCCCGTATTTTCCACCCACAGAACGTTGAAAGCGGGATAAGCACGGAAAGATTCCAACGGCATGGCTTTCAGCCCTAACGTTGCTTTGGTGGAGTTGATTGGCCGGTGCGGCATGGGGATGCCGTATGCGGCCAACAGGCGCAGTGAGCAGAGTTGAATACGAGATCAGGTGACGCGCTGGCCAATGGCAAGGTGAAGGGCTAAATCGTGTTACCCATCCTATCCACCAACGACGACGTCTGGGTCAGGACATATGAAGATCACCTGGTAGTATATAATAGTCAGCCAACGGCCACTTCCACTTCAACTTCAGCTCTGCTCTGTTCTCAAGAGCCACACTGAAAGTCACGAGTCTTGATCCAATCACGACAAAAATTTAACCACAACAATGAAATCAATACTCTTCCTTCTCTCCTCCATCTCCCTAGCCGCTTCAGCCTGCGCCCAAGGAAAGGACTACTTCTTCCACTATGTGGCCGGCAACTCTGTGATTAACGGGCAGCGCCTCCGCGGCAACTTCTCCATCCCATATGTTTCTCCTGGCGTCTCTCACGCACCGTACAACCCATCCGACCACTTCAACCGCATCCATCTGAACACTTCCCTCACATCAACGGCACCCAAGGTGCTCCTGGTTGTGCCGACCAACCCCCATCCTCCTCCTGTACCTGGATACTATGGCTTGTCCAATGCGGAAGGTTTTGATTCGGCCTATCGGCTGGTGTACTCTTATCGGCCGGAGGAGGCGGGCAACGGCTTTGTGTACCGGAATTGGAGGACGAATGGGAATTTCCTGAGGTTTGACATTGGTGGTGCGAGTGATGATGGGTATCGGTGGATTGCTGTCCGGGAGGTGACACAGGCCGGGAATGAGAGATGGGTGCCATGGTGGGTGAAGCCGACGGTGGCGAACTTTGCGACTTTGGAGGGTTGGGAGTACGATATTGCCGAGCTGGAGTTGGTGGAGGCGACGGGGCCGGTGAACTCACTCGCGCCTGGGGGGGTGCAGGAGTAGGCGAATCATGAATTGATGATGACAAGGGGGGAGGGTGGTGGATTTCATCGCACAAATGATACCAGATAACAGCCATGATGAATATTCGAAAGTAAATAGACTTAACCGTTGGTATGACACTGTTTTTGCCCCCCCCTTTTTTTGATGGGATTCAGGGATGCGTGCCTCGGCTCCCATTGCTGCCTGAATCCAGCCCAGCAAAATCGGTCTTTAGCGCCTGTCCTCTCCACCACTGCCTTAAAGCAGGGATTCTCTTTCATCTTTATAAACAACAACACTACCTCCCGCCCACAAGAACGTCGCCTTTTCCAATCCAACATCAACTCTCACAACCAAACTCTCCATTGTTTGGTCCTGTCCATCATCATCAAAATGCCCCCCAAAACGACCCTCACAATGGCCTCCATCACCGCCTCACTCACCCCGCAGGACCTCGCCAATGCGAGCGAAATCTCCTCCCTCCTCCTCAAAATCTACCAAACCCTCATCTACATGCAATACCTCCCCGCAAAATCCCTCCACCCGGGCCCCCACGATCTCACTCGCCTCCTCCCCCTGTTCGAAAAGCTCCAATTGACACCCCAAATCATTTACCTCTACACCGTCCTGCCCTACGTCTCTTCCAAAGGCCACGACTTCTACCATGGCGGGTACTTTGCCGACTTTCGCAGCAAGCGCGACGTCAAAGACGCCAGAAACACATTCTACGCCGAGGACCGCCGGGAGCAGATGCGCCCTTGGATGACGCCGCTTAGCTTGTGCTGTAACCACTCGGCCGTGCTGTTTTATGATTTCAGGCGGCATCGGATAGGCATTTTTAGTCAGTGCGATGACTGGAGTAAGGATAAGGCGCTGAGGGCGAGGCATGGGGATATAAAGTTGGGATTGACGCCGGTGGAGGACTTGGAGGTCGAGTCTGATTCTGAGCCCAGTAGTGAGGATGGGGGGAGTGAGCGGGATAGTGATGATGAAACGAGGTCGAGGAAGAAGATGAAGAAACATTATCATCCGTGGTTGGGGTGCGGGAGCCAGGGGAGGAATGTGTGGGATGATATGCCTTCGAGGCCAGCAGGGGATGTGCTGAGGGATATACTCAGGGAGTATGAGACTTTGGAGGAGGTACCGTGGGTGTATGAGCATGGGTCGAGCCGAGACTGGCCGACGGGGTTGAAGCAGTTGTTCTTCAAGTATGGTTGGCCGGGCAAACAATTTGCGAACAATGTCGAGGCGTTTGAGCTGGACAAGATGCGGCTTGCGGCAATGGGGACTCTCAGGAGGCGCGCGAAGGACATATGTGAGCAGGTCAAGCAAGCGAAGGAAAGGGTGGAGGAGAGGAATGGGCCCGACTTTCTGCTTTTGAGGCGACAGATTGCTATGGCCGAGACACCAGACGAAGAATGGATTGCGAGGTATCAACTTTGGCGGAAGGAGCAAATCATCGAGCAATCAAAAAAGGAGCTGGAAGAGGCAGAGGCAACGAGGGACCGGCGGTTTCCATCTGGGCACAAGCTTAGCATGTTTAGCCAGAAGCCGGAGGATTGGATCCTGTGGGAGGTGCAAAAATGGAGGCAGGATATTGCCCGCGAGGAGGAGCACCTCCAGTCTGCCGTGGAGCAGGCCGAGATGTTCGCAGCTGGTCTCCTCGGCAATGAAGCCAATCTGGAATACATCAAAGACAACCTCGAAAAAAGACAGAACAACTTGGAGCTCCTCCGCAAGGTCTTGGAAATGAGTAAGGAGGACGCGGAGAGGCTATGCCCTGGGATGGAGGAGCTCCCAGTCGAGGATGAAAGCGCCAACACTGCCAGCTTCCACAACCGAGCCTATGCCATTGGTTGCCATGAGAAAGCGATTGACGAGATAAAAGGCTTCATGGCTACCGTGCCGATACATTGTACCAAAACAATACAGCTTCTGCAGGGAGAGATTGAAAATCACCGCGAGGACATCAAACGCAGCAATAAATGGTGGGACGGACACGAAGAGGCCATAAGGAATTTCGAAAAGAGGAAGGAGGCCCTTGCTGTTATGAAGGCCAAGCAGAAGACGGAAGGTTGAGAAACGGTCGCAACAAAGATAGTCTTGGAAAGGCAAATAAACGAGTCAAATGTTGTTTCATCCCGTGTGCCCCTCGCTTTGTATGCTATGCTCATGTAAGAGCCAGAGAGCCGCCTGCCAATGCTACCATGCAAGGACGCCAAAAGCCTAGCCAAAAATGCGTCAACTTGGGTTCGTATTTCCAATTTTCATGACGAAGTGCCGGGTTTCTTGGCATAAACAACATAGCTACTCCACGGTCAGTGTCTCATTTCATCAAGGCCACATGATGCCGACTTACTAGGGCACCCAACTGTGCATGTTGCGGTCCACCACTTCATTTCTTGCCCTGGCCATCAAGACCTGAAAGTAAGTCTCGTCACCGCCAAGGATGTCCTTGTAGCCCCGTGCAAAGACATTCATGATGCCATCCCTGTAGTGTGTCAACTCCAGGGCGCCAATCCTCTTGAGTCTCTCATCCTTTGGCCAGGGGTTGGTTGGAATCTTGTACATCTTTTGCACAATATCCTCGTATCCCTCCTCTTCCAGATACTTTGTCCAGCTCAAAGGCTCCATCCCTGAGACGCCAACCTTGGCGGACATGTCGAAAAAGATCTGCGCCGTCTCCAGGTAGGCGCTATCCTTGGGCAGAGTGTCATCGTCGGATGAGAACAGTGGGACGGATGCGCCAAGCTGGAGGTATGCCCCCGGCTTGAGCGCCCTCTTGGCCTGGCGAAAGAGCCTCGGCCAGTCCCGGATGGCCATGATTAGTTCCCTTGCGTGGATGAAGTCAAACTTGTTCTCCCCCCAAAGCCAGTCGTTCTCGATGTCGTCGATCTCAAAACTGAGGTTGGGAGGGATGAGGTTCGGTTGGGTAGGCGCGAGATCGACGCCGATGACCTCGGCCGACGGAAACATGTCTGCCACCTCGATGGCCCAGATGCCAGAGCCCGTGCCAAGGTCGAGAATCTTTTGCGGGTCAGAAGGCACGGGGCAAATGAATAGGCGGTTGCCAAGGAGGAGGGTGAACTTGTAGTGTTGGAGATCATTGCGGTCCAGCTGTGCAGGGCGTCAGCGATTTGTCAGAAGGAACATGCAGATACCACCGGCAGAGCAAAAATACCTCCTCATCGTCAATGGGAAGCCATTGTTTGTGCATGCCGTATGCAGCATAAAGCCTCCCATTTTCCTCAACGCCGCGCCGAATGTCAGATGCGATGGAGCTCAAATACCGTGTCGATGTTGATTCCGCATATCCCTCATCGTCTGTCCACCGGTCGGGCTCGATGCTGTCGTTATCGGTGTCGGTGGCAGTGGGTGCCGAGAGACTCTCATTGAGCGAGGGCGCAATGCCGGGCTCGTCAAAGTCGCACTGTTGTTCGTTGGTATCGGTCTTGTCTGTCGCGAGGTGCTTGCCCTTGTCTTGGCGTTGATCGTCGCCGGAGCCGAAGCCGGCTGGGTCGTCGTCATGATCTCTGTAGGGCATTTTGATGGCAATCGCAACGACGAAGAAAGGATGAAAGGATCATCATGATGCGTGTCAGATGGAAAAGCAGAAAGGTGGGGAAGAGAGTAAATGGCAGGTGTCCCAAAGGGCCAAAGGGGCGCTGAGATTTCCTGTGGCTTGCCTGGACCTTGGGAATCCCGACCAACTGGGTCCTTTGTTTTCCTGCCGTGTTCTGTGCCGGAGTCTTGAGGGTGGGTGACATGCAGCTTTTTTCGCATCCTGTGCTGGGTAGGTCTTTGTCCAGCCGTTCGCTGACTGGCGGCTGTTCCGGGTTCCAATCCATCGGGACACATCGCCCCGGTCCTGTTTGTCCCTCGGCTGGTAGGTGTGTCGCTGATCCACGGCTCGCTAATGTGGTCGGGTCGAGTTTGTTCTTTTTTCTTTTCTGTTTCGTTCTCCGTGATGTTGCAGAAACAGACCATCTAAGCCGAACCGCCCCCGCCAGCATGTGCCTCCCTGGCACTGCAATAATAGCAGCGAACTGACCAATGAGAAGGGCCGAGATGCACAACCCCAACCCCCCTCGTTTGTGTAACCAGGGCAGAGATATGTCCGGTCGCTGCTATTCAGTCCCTAACAGGTATGGACGACCCGACAGTCTGGCTCCCGGGGCCGACGGGATGTTGGAATTTTCATGACTTCCATCAGCCAATTCCACTGTGTTGCTCTTAATCTGTGGTGTGTAACAGTCTATCTGCTCTCCTCCCTGCGACCCCCGCATTCTCGACGACCACGGCCCCTCAGTTGAACCCCCGCACCAATCGCAAGAGTATCATGGGCGGTTGGTACTTTTGTTCGATATTCTGTCCTCCTGCAGCTTCATGACCCTGGGACAGGCACTGCGGGGTATGTGAGCATCATCCCCGGTAGCCCCTTGTGGAAGACATCACGACATGGTGATGGGATTGGCTAGGTATTTAACATGCCGCTGCACCTCATCCATTGGGCCACCCTTCTCTCTGCTACCAGCTGCCGCATCGACCGCTCCTCAGTGCAACCCCCAACTCCGCCATGGCTTTACCCACCAAGCAAGAGGTCCAGGATCTCGTCAAACAGCTGACTGAAGCTGCCAACGCCTATGATGATTCCGCCAGTCTTGCCGGCCATCTCGCCCGCACCGACATTATCGCAAGGGCGAAGGACCTCCAGCGTGCCTTGATCACTGCCGATCAGACACCTGCCTATCATGGCCTAAATGTGAGTTTCTTTCACTACTCATCTGCATCATGAGATATCATATGCTGACTTTGTTGTTTGTGAACAGATGGCCGAGTTGATTGCTGCCCGCACCTTCATCAAGATTGGAGCTCTCAACGCCATCCCCGAGACGGGAACCATTTCCCTCCACGGTCTCTCCAAGGCCACCGGAGCCCAAGAATCTCTCCTAGGTTTGTTTATCAGATTCGACAGCCTCGACCTTGTTGTGTAACTGACCATGAATGGCAGAGCGCGATGCCCGTATCCTCGTGGCCACTGGCTTTCTGCTCCAGCCTTCTGCCACCACCCTTGCCTACGCTCACAGCAAGTTCAGCCTCGTCTACCGCGCTGGCTCGCCGGCCGGTTACTTCTTCCTTGCCCTCTATGACCAGTACCTCAAGCATGCCTACAACTTTGACGACTATCTCGAGGCGCACGGCCAGGTCTCTGCGGCCCGCGAACCCGATGATCCCCTCCACAACCCCTGCACCTGGAACGCAAAGCAGGATGGTGTGTCTGTCTGGCAGATCATGGCTCAGAACCCGGAGAAGCTGGACCAGTTCCAAAAGGGATTGGCCGGCATTGATGTTGCCGTCCCGCCCGTGGGTCATTTTGACTTTTCATTGTTGAAAAACAGCGACGAGGAGAATGCTGCGGGGATCAAGGAGCTGGTTGATGTCGGGGGTGGCCATGGAGTGGTGTTGTCCAAGATTCTCGCTGCTCATCCAGACTTGGGTGCCAGGAACACAGTGTTGCAGGAACGGAAGGACATTTGTGCTCTGGCCGCTGAACATCTGCCCGAGGGAGCAGTGGCGATGGAACATGATTTTACAAAGGAACAGCCTGTGAAAGGTAAGTCTGGGTCATTGTCCTGGTGGATCCTATGAATATTGCTGACTTCAGTTGCTCAACAGGAGCGAAGGGCTATTTCTTCCGGATGATCATGCACGACTATTCCGACGCCGTTGCCTCAGGAATTCTGAAGCAGATCGTACCTGCCATGAACAGCCAGTCCAGGGTCCTGGTCTGTGATATGATCTTGCCGCAAAAGGTTGGCGAGGCCGACTTTGCAGCGGCCGTGATGGATCATGCCGTTATGACCATGGGTGGCAAGGAAAGAACTGAGGAAGGCTTCAGAAAGATCTTTGACGCTGCTGGACTGGAGTTGGTCAAGGTTTGGAGGGCCCCGGGCGTTCCCGGTGGTGTGGTTGAGGGAAGGCTGAGGGCTAACTGATTTGATGACACGAGAAGATGACAACTGAGCAGAGGATTACGTTGTCAGAAGTACTGTGATGTCTTGATAGGTAGTTTGGCCTTTTTTTCTCTTTCTTCTGGCTATATTAATGAAGATCCCTTTTTGGATATCTGATTTTGTCTCTGGAGTAACCTTTACGTGTCTGTGTGCTAGGAAACACGCCTCCGTCAGTGTCACTGGGCCAGCTCATGTAACTTGCTCTTGTGTGAATGATAAGAGATTGCTTGATACTGGAACCTTTGGGATCTTTTTTCTACCTAATTAGTTTTAGCGCTAGGCTATATCATGTATGAGATATGTAGGATGCCTAAAGAAACTGGGACAACCCTGTGCCCTGTCTTATTCATCTTATCTCGAGCCTGGAGCAACAAAGATTGGGTGTAGATCATGAAGGAACATTCCATGCCATGGTGGAGATTTTCTCGGGCAATAGCCGGCTGGGGTAACTTGGAGTTTCCAGTGCCTGGAAGCAGTAGCATAATAGGTACGTATCGTTGTGGTAGAATCACGGTGCAAAATGAAGCAATTTTGGGTATATGCAAACAGTGACTTTTAAAGTGAAATGGAGGAGATTGTCCTGTTTCCAGGTTATCAACTTTCTCTTCAATGATCATTAAAATCCTGTTAGATGGGTGCCTCGTGAGTACTCCTCAGCCCAATGATGTCGTCGACCCAGTGATTCCGCCGACCCAGTGACTCCGCCGACCCAGTGTTCTCGCCAACCCAGATCTCGCCGATCCAATAGTGTCGTCGGCCCCCAGCTAGGGTGTGGTCAAGGAACCGCAGACATGAACTACGGTTTGAAGATGTGTGAATAGGGTTCCCTTGAGCCTCCAGCACAATAGGTGCCTTAGGTAGCAAAGACTGTTCTTGTATGCCTCGATGAATACCCTCCATAGCATTCTTATCACTTGTCTGTCTGCTCTGTTGGGCCATTAACTGCTCTGGCCCTTCATCCCCATTCACTTCCAGCAGACTCTTCTTATCAAGCCCTGTCATCCACACCCTCGGGGCCCCTGCACTTGCCATTCTGCCCACACTTTTCGTTCACCAATTTAGTGCCGCTCTGGTGTCTATAAATTATTTCCTCTCATCCTTGCTCTTGCTTTCGTCCTCTTCCACCACACACCGGACCCATCCCTCCCGCTTCGAGCTTTGTGCCAGTCTGTTGCCCAACACAACACACATCAGATCTCCAAGCAAGCTTCGCATTGAAGCCTCATAGTAAGTCGCACCACCTCCACCACTGTCATCATCATTGTCATCTCTGCTTAATTATTCATCTCTGCTTCCTACATCTTGTGGACGTTATCCACACATGAGGGAAGGTGACAAGGGTATTGTCACATTTCCTTCACACATCACTCATCTCTTCCAGCCCTGAGGCCTTGCTTTTCATTCACAGGACACATCTTTGGACTTCTCACCTCACAGTGAATCACTGACACTGACACTTCTCTTTCTTCCACAAGCATTTCGACTTCTCATTACATCTGCCACACTTTCTCACAAACAACCACCGCTCAACCACAATGGCTGACACCAAAATTTCTCCCGCTGCCCCTGAGGGCTTTTCTGAGCGTGAACAGCGCCTCATGATGTTTGTCCTGCTCCACAGTGACATCACCTCTTTGCAGGCACGTTTCTTTCTTTCTTTCACCACACCGTTGCTTCTCTAGCAGTGCTGACACTTCTTTCTTACAGATTGACTACCCTGCTGTTGCCTCCCGCATGGGCCTCACCAATGTCCGCTCCGCCTCCAACGCCTGGGGCACCCTCAAGAAGAAGATTCTTGCCATCGATGCCCAGGATAAGGCCGCCAACCCTGACAAGGCTGCTGCTGCTGAGGAGAGCACCGCTTCGACCAAGGCCACTACTAAGACCCCCACCAAGGGCAAGCGTGCTGCTGCCGCCATAACCGAGGGCGATGCCGATGCCGAAATCGCCACTCCCACCAAGAAGCCCCGTGGCAGAAAGCCCAAGGCTGCCACCGCCACCCCCAAGACTGAGGATATGGTGACGTCTGAGGATGGCGAGAAGGCCGAGGGCAGTGAGAATACTCCCATCAACCTCGTTACACCCACCGTGACCCCCGTCAAGAAGCCTCGTGGTCGCGCCGCCGCCAAGATCAAGGCCGAGGCCGCTGCCAAAGCCGTCGCTGAGGTCGGGGCTGCTAACACGAAGACTGTTGCTGCCAAGGAGGAGGAGGACTTGGAGTCCGAGGTCAAGGATGAATCCACCGTCATTGAGGCCAAAAAGGAGGAGGACGATTTCGAGGAGCTTGTTAGCCCCGAGGATGTCGCCCACCTGGAGAAGATTGCCGCTGATGGAATCAAAGCTATCAAGCAGGAGGATCTGGAGGAGGAGGACGAGGATGATGACACCATTTAGGTCCTTATTTTCGTTGACTCACGAACACATTGACCTCATCCTCACTTTACGAATTCTCTGGTAGGGCTTTGATATGGGCAGCTGCGCGGAGTTTGGGAATAGATAGGAGTCTCGGTTGCGCTTGGAATTTCTCTCCCGTCTTTGGAGCAGACCATAACATGAAGCCTGCATAGTAACGAAGCAATGGGGATATAATGAAATGCCTTTTCTTCAACACCTGACCGTGATTCATTGATGTGACTACTGCAGTGGTGTGCCAGATAACCTTTGTGAACGATTGTGCAAGTGCGGCAACGTGCCTCCATCTCTCTGCCATCTTGTGGCCGCCTCGTCATCTCAAAGTTAGGTGTAACTCAGATCGCACTTTGGGTCACCTCAACCCCAGTGATTACTTCTGTCCCAGCATGACCTGGAGTTTCATGATGTGCATTCTCAAAGTCCATGGCCATTATGCTGATGCCTTCCCGACATATCACACCGGAGGCCGGCGCACTTGTGCATAAGAGCAGTGTGAGGAAGGAAGGCATGGTCCACGATAAGATGCGCTGGTTACCGCCATCAAGTCGCAGATAAAGCATCGCTCCTTCCTTTCGGCGACCACCTGCACCGATGGCGGAGAATTATTGCGACAGCCCTGCCTCACGTTTTTTATTTCCCTGCCCATCTTCAGCTTTTTTTCTCCTACCATTGAAACTGACCTACCACGCTTATCCCAATTATCATAACCATCAATCCTCACCATGTTCGCCTCTCATGTCATCGGGATGCTGCTGGCTGCGGCCTCAGTCAAGGTAGGTCGGAGAGTTACGCTGGTGTTGAGTCGAACGACTGAGTCGCTAATTCCACAAAACAGGCCATTCCTGCTTCATTTGAAGGCTTGATCACCGCCGATATCACCTGGACCGGCCGGGTCGTCGCCAATGGCTCCATGGTCAACTTCACTGGCCCCTCTCTCCAGGCCATCGAGCAGAGCATTGCTTCTGTCTATCCCGGCTTTACTTGGGCTACTGCTCCCCAGCCTAACGACGATTTTTCTCTGAGCAGCCGTAACATTGATGACACCCAAGATGTCCCCACCCCTTCGGTAAGCCTCTGTCCCCTTTCTTACATGGCTCCGGGCCACATTCTCACCAATTTCCACAGTTGCTCAAGTGTTGGGATGGAGGTGTTGGTGATGCCGATGCCTCCCACATCACTGAGGGCATCAATTACCTCCAGAGCGTCCCTGGATACTGCTCGAATGGTGCCGGCGCCGCCAACTGCGGACAGATCAGCTGCAGCTACAACAGCGCCATCATGTGGTGCAACAACAACAGGCGTACCTACACCACGCACTGCAAGAGCCTTGCCAAGTATGCCACAGCTATTGTCAGGGGGTGCCAGCATGAGACACGTGATTCGGCGCATGAGACCATCTGGACCCGCGGCATCCAGGGAGATGAGCTTGGGATTAGCGTCATTGCCGCGAAGCCAGCGGTTGATTGCTGAGCAAGAGGAGAAAGGCGGGAGGAACTGTGGTTGCGAGAGATGACTGGTTATCCGATGTCAATCGATCTGAGGTAGATGGAGGCAATCTGCATAGAAGAGACATATCGCAAGATGATGTTGTGCTACGTCTGCCTATTCGAGACATTGTCTGAGTTTTGTTGCCATCTGGTCATGGGAACCTCCATGCCCCGAGGTTACAACCCCGAGGCCTGTCATGTCACTGCTTGGCATGGGTAACGACAAGTACTAAACACAAAATGGGCAGCTGACGACATCACCAACCCTTCACAAGAAACAAGTCCCAAACTGAGGATCCCCCGATGGGAACGAGCAGCCCACAGACCCATTGACATTGGTGCATCACACGTCCACAAAGTTGTCGATCGTACACGGTGACCCTGGAGGGTCACACATTGGCTTGAACGGATAGGCGTAGTCATCAGACTCGTAATCGGGGTATCTTGTCTCTGACTCGATGTCGTGACCCCGGTCATTGCCGACATGTGGAGGCGGGGCTTTTGTCTGTATCATGGTTAGACAGACGACGATCATGGGGTTCAAGAATGGGAGGGAGCTGCGGGAGCGAAACGTGAACAAGCCGAGTCTAGCTTTTGGGGCTTGTCCCAGCAGGACTTTTGGAAGGGACCCATGGCGGCGGGCCCTTTGCAGGTTGTTTTGGTGTGCTTGTTGCAGAAACCTTTTGCAGATTGGGCCTCGAGGGTGCGGGAGCATTTGTTGCCTTTGAGGCAGCAGGGTTTCTTGGGGGCGGCGGGACGGGCGACGGGTATTTGGGTAGGGGGGCTTTCGAGGGGGCTGTATGATGGGGGTGCGCCGTTGGAGTTGTCTAGGGAGTTCCAGACGCGGAGAGAGCCGTCGAAGTGGGTGGTTCTTTGGAGGGCGGTGGTGAGGGAGGTGGTGATGGTGATGAGGAGGGGAGCGGTAGGAGCTTCATCTCGGTGGGTGCTACGGAATGAGGAGAAACAGATCAACGAGGGATTCACGGAGACGGTGTCCGTGAAAGGGGGGTTGATGTGCTGGCTTGGTGAGTCGGGTCATGTTGAAGTGCGAGTCGCTGGGGATGGCACATTGGGCAGCCGGTTCCATCGCACCCAGAGATGTTGAACTCTGGGGCCGGTTATGGTGTTGGACCATGCCCCTTGTCGAACCGGTGGTGTTGTTTCTCCACTGGAAGACCAGATACCGATTCCGCGCATATGAACTATCATCTCAATTGATCAAACTTGTGTTTCTGATCCTGCATGCGACAGGTATCGTTCGGGGGGAAGCATTGAGGGGGGTTAGCGGCCAAGATATCAATTGAACCCTTGGAGCAGATGGTTTTTGTGGGTTAATGGGGTGTGGGCCGAAGGATAGTGGGGTTGGCTCAGAGAGGGAATGACGTCACAGTACATCGTCAACACGATCATGGACGAACAACAGCAGGAAGCAGGAAGCGACCCGGGAGCTTGGGGTAGCAATTCAAGCCCCTGCCAAGCCGATCTTCCAGATCCCATCTGAACTTCAATCAATTCATCACATACACTACGCAGTGACACCCGTCAATATGGTCGGACGACGCCCACGCGCTATCAACTGGGCCGCCGAGGACCACAAGAGCTGGCCTGCCATTCCGCGACAACGACGCCCTCCAGCCCACTGGTACCGAGACGACGATGAAGAAGCCGCCCTCCCTCCCCATGGAGAGACACCCAACACCCGACACACCGACCGAGCGAGGATAACAAGAGACACGGGCTTCAAAGATGAAGCAGCACTGCTGGCCGCCGAGCATCGGCGCGACGACCTCAAGCGTAGGGTCCTTGATGGCATGCGGGGGTTCGACCTTGAAAAGATGGATAAAAGGTGTCGCCGGTCGGACGACGAGCTGAAGAGGATAAAGAACAAGAAGATACGAAGTTTTTACGAGGCCCAAAATGATACACTGGATGCGTGGCTGGAAGTGGATGCCCTGGTCTACGCCGTCGCCGACGACGTCATTGACAGCATGGTACGTCTCCAATTTTGATTTAGCCTAAGCTCCAGAGCTAACACCACACCGTCGACACAGAACCCGGACGCTGACGGCGATGGAATACCCGAACGACGGATGCCCCTCCAAGACTCCCGCGGCGCCATTGATTGCTTTCTACCACCCGAACACCGCGAGAAGCGTGCCCGAGACGAGAAGCACGCCCGCTGGGCCATCAACATCAACCTCTTGGCCAACATCTTCATGCTGGCTGCGAAGCTGATCAGCTTGAAGTTCAGTCCGTCTCTTTCACTGGCAGCAAGTACTGCAGACTCGGCGCTCGATCTCTTCTGTACGCTTATAGTCTATGGCACCAACCGCGTCGTTGCCTGGCGTCTCCAGGCCCTGCAGGTGAAGTATCCCGTGGGACGACGTCGTCTGGAGCCAATTGGGATTCTGGTCTTCAGTGTCATCATGGTCGTCTCATTCGTTCAAATCTTGCAAGAATCTGTCACCAAGCTGCTGCCTGGCGGTGATAGAGATGTTGCTCCCCTCCCAGCTGTGGCCATCGCAGCCATGGCGGCCAATGCAATCATCAAAGGCCTGATCGGGTTTGCATGTCGACACGTCAAGACAACTCAAGTTCAGGCACTGGTTCAGGACTGCAAGACGGATGTCTACTTCAACATTGCCTCGTTGCTCTTCCCGCTCGTGGGAGTGCATGCTCATATCTGGTGGCTTGATCCCGCGGGCGCTTCGCTCTTGGCGCTGTATGTGATCGTTGACTGGGCAGAGACGTGTATGGGCAACATCAGCAGGTTGACGGGAAGCAATGTGGGCGATGCGCTGCAGAAGAAGCTGATGTATCTCGCCTTTCGGTTTTCGCCCGTCGTGGAGGGGTTCAAATCGCTCACGGCCTACCATGCAGGGGATGGAGTCTGGGTCGAGCTGGACATTTTGCTGGATGAAAACACGCCACTGCCTACGGCTCACGATATCGCCGAAACGTTGCAGTATTGCTATGAGGGGTTGCAAGAGGTCGACAGGGCGTTTGTGACGGTGGACTACTCTACGTTTGGCCCGACCGGCCACGCAGCAATGTGATGAATGATCGTGGGATGGATTAGGGATACGAGTTGGAGCTTGCGGCACAGCCAGGAATTGTTATATAAACAGAGATACCCATTTTGCAGTAGGTTCACGCATGTAATAGTAGCTATTTTGGAACTTCGGAATGGTTTGACCCTTCCACATACTCGTGGTGGTGTGCTTGTATGTCCGACATCTCGCTGATATTGACACAGGAGCCAATGGGGTTGGTCTCTGCCACCTCTGATGACTGAATTGGGCTGCCACACAGCCCTACGGTAGGGCTCAAACAAGCTTGCCGCTGTACCTTCTGCGAGCTGAAGTGCAACGGCAGAGGGTCACCATTCCTACCATCTCCAAGCAAGTCGGCCGCTTTCCAGTCAGCCACAACCTGTCCTAACACCCGATGTGGTATCCTTCGGTGATGATCATCACCACCTCTTCAGAGCTTCTCGTTTTTGCGACGCCATCAGCGCTGCTTTTGATGTCGGTCACCAGCAATCGAGTTCCTCGCCGTGTTATCTGTGGTTAGCTCGTCGATAGCAGCTCGCCACAGCGCTTCAATATTACGCCTCTTGTACTCGGATCCCTCGCATCTTCACCCTCCTCACACCCGGTCTTGTCTACGGCAACACAGAGCAACAGATGAGACGAGGGAAATATAAAGATGCCTCCAACGCCAGTAGCAAGTTTTTTTTTTGGACCATTGTTAAGCTCATCATTGGCGTAAAACACCACCCTTGCAAGCTCTACAGCCTCACCATTCCAAGATCTCACCATGACAACCCTCGAAAGCATTCTCAAGGACCCAGCTGTCGCTGGAGCCTACTGGACCCTTTCGAATCCCGAGGACATGTCCCCCGCCGAGTCGACTTTCACCATCGGCGGCTACAGCGAAGCTGTCTTTGAACCTGACAACCGCACCCCCGTCGACGAGACCGACTATGCCGATGGCGGAAAATACCGGTGTTTGTCCCCTTTTTCCACACTACCCCAGGAGACATCCATCACTGACATGTCCCAGCCATTGTCAAGATCGTCATGCGCTACGAAGGCCAAACCAAAGACGACAGGCGCTGGGCCATCGGCACGGGGTATCTCATCTCTCCCAACACCTTCGTCACCGCCGGCCACTGCGTCTATGACCGCACTGGTGGAGGCCAAGGTGCTCAACCGAGCGGTTTGGGCCGTGTCGTCCAGATGAAGTGCTACATTGGTTATTGCGGTCTTGACAGTGTCACTCGTCCCAACAGCACCGTCCAGGCTCGTCGCGCTCTCGCTACTGTCACCACCGCGCAGTGGATCACCACTGGTGATAGGCGGTATGATGTCTCTTTTGTGAGGCTTGACCGCCCGTTTGAGGGGAGAGTCAGGGCGCATGATGGCGGGAGCACACTCCGGAACTTTGTTATTCAGGAGACGCCGATGAGGGAGAAGGGCGCGTTGCTGGGCGTGGTGGGGTACCCGGGGGATAAATACTTGAATAAGGAGAAGGGGGCGCAAATGTATGAGTTGTTTGAGACGGTGGACTATGATTTGGGAAAGGGGGCAGGGAATATGTTGCAGTATCGGATTTCGACTTTTAAAGGTGAGTGGTTGACTGGTTGCTTGATCCCATGGTGACTATGGTGATGTGACACTAATGCGAGATTCGGACAGGACAATCGGGGGCTCCCGTGATTCGGAAATGGGATGCTGCTCCAGACAAGGGGCAGTTGGTTGTCATTGGCACGCATTGCTACGGAGGAGAGGCGCGCAACTCGGCCAGTGTGATTGGCGGGGAGTATGGCAACAACTACAACTTCTTCCTCGCGGCTCTTGAACAGCTCCCTCCTACTGTCAAGGATGTGACAGGTGTGAAGCGGGTAGTGGGAAATGACGACTCAGGTGAGACTGGCACCGAGACTGGTATGGATGGTCCGGTCGGTGAGGCGGAGGGCTTTCTTGATGTTCTCAAGGACATCGGCCGGGTGGTTGCTCCTGTTGTGCAAACTGCCCTCCCCTTGGTTTCACCGCTTCTTGGTCCAATGGGTGGACCGGTGAGCGCCATTGGGAGTATCGCCATGGGCGCACTCAGCAAAGCAGTTCAGGAATCTGATATGGAATCTGGTCTGCCTCCTCCGCCGAGGATCAAGCTTGCTGCTGGTGTGGCCGAACGCGCCGTGGTGGCCGAGAGTGTCTTGCAGACTGTCCTCAGGATGGAGAGATCTCCTGTCTCTCAGAGAATCGTCGACAAGATGAGATTCAAGTACACCGCTACTGGATTTACCTCGAAGCACGCAGCCAAGTTGGGTCCTAGGATGGTGCCCCTGCTCAGCCAGGCTGGCTTGAGAATCGCTGTCACGGAAGGGCTGATCCAAAAGCCAGCTGAGTTTGGAGCCACAAAGCAGGTGCCAGTCTCGCAGACCGAAGCCGACTTGACTGGAGATACCCACACCGACAGGTTCCTCGAGAACATCGCCAAGACCGAGGCCAAGGTCTTGAAGTCAGGGGCTCAGTCCGAGGCATTCTTTGACAACTTGGGGCCATTTTTGACGAGAGCACTCAAAGTGGCTTCGCCTGTCTTGCTGACGTCTGCGAGGGCTGGCTTGCAAAAGATAGATCAGATTCTGGCCAAGAAAGAGAAGCAAGTTGGCGGTGGCACTGAGGCTCTGCTGGAGGACCCAACCAATGAGAAGGTCATCACTGATGAGAAGGCCGCTGCATTGCTCGCCCACAGGGCTGTCGTTGCGGAGTGTGCCTTGCAGGCTGTTCTGGAGGCGGAGCCAAAAGAGCTGAGGGAGAGTGTGATCCTGGGAGAAAGCGCGGGTTCAGCAGAGCAGGAGAGCTTCTTTGGCGGTTTGCTCAAGACTGTCCAGCGCATTGCGCCGGCCGTGTTGAAGGCTGCCCCGGCAGTTCTCAACACAGCTGTTCCGATCCTTCTTGGTGCTATCAGCGGTCCTGCTGGAGCACCCGCCGTTGCTGCGGTCTCTTTTAGTGTGTCATCTGTTGAGGACACTGCTGACACTCTGAACGGTGAACATGCTGCTGTTGGTGTCAACGGCTGGAGCAAGAAGAAAGCTGGTATCAACGGGGGATCCTTCAAGGTAAGCAATGTTTCATTTGCTTTGGTTTGACAGTGCCAAAAGGGAACATACCAACAGTGGAGGTGTAGACTGTTCAATTTTCGTTATCAGCTGTTGCCCCGGGCTCAAGTTTGGACCAGTTGCCCGCGAACATGGCACGGGCTAGTGGTTCAAGCGCGTTTAGCAATCCAGAGCATGAGGGGCTTGAAGAGGAAGAAACTCAGCCGATCGGTGACTGTGGTGATGACGGGGTATCAAGCTGCGGAGAGGGTGATGACCAAAATCAAGATGGGGTTGACTGGCTTGACGATGATGAGCTTTGTGGCTCTTTCAACAGAAGCTGACCTATTTTGTTTGCCTAGGTGCCTGTTACTAGCTTGGCTTGAGCTCTGTTACAGAATAAGTGCCACCTGCCAGGGTGGAAGGGGATAATATGGTTTGGAAGGCGGCTTGGTGTCATATATGTTTCTGGTTATGATTGGATTATGGAGTGGATTGGTTGGGGCTGGACACTGAGAGCACATGACTGAACTGATTTATGAGTAACAATATTACACCTTGTTATTGACCTGCGGATGACGTTTGGTTTGTTGCTTTTGTCACTGCAAACTGTGTCAGCATAATAGCATTCAGTCACCCTGCTGCTGCGAAAATGCAAAGATGTGTGAGTCTAATTATCAACCGCACAAAAGATTGAGGTTTCCAAGAAGATCTATTGTCTGTGTATAAAGTCAGGGGCGTTGTTGTCTAGGATGTTCCATTGATCTCTCCAACTCATTGCGTCTATTTCTCTGTTTATCCGGTCTGGCTATTAGTCGATTATTGTTTAAAGAACAAAGGATACACCTCACTGTTCGACGTCGAGAGTATCTAACTACTAACATAAAGGATTGCTACATGAACTCTATCGTCATTGAGGAAGGCAAATTACCAGCTGTCCACCTCCTTCAAAGAGTTTTGGGTTCCTAAAGTTGTGGAATCAGCTTGTCAATACTTGAAGATCCTGAACGTTGTATTGATGAATACTCTTGAAGAATATATCCTCCCATATAAATGAATTACAAAGGCAAATAATGGGACAAGTAGCTTACAGTAGTCTACCTCTTTACTGCTATTCACTGCTCTTCACTGCCCTTCACTGCCCTTCACTGCCCTTCACTGCCCTTCACTGCCCTTCACTGCTCTTCACCTTCAACTGTCATCGGCCTTTTGTAGAGCAGCTCAACTTCACCTCATCGATCATTCACTAGCCTGGAGCACACTGTGGTCCTTATACCAGCTAATCGCCGGCAGAAGATATATCAGCTGCACCTGCTTTTGTCAACACTCCTCGCTCTTGGCCTTCAGACTATATGAAACCATCGTCATATGTCAAGATTGGGACCGCGGAATTCACTTATACTATCAGCGAACCACTCGGCGCACGGTCTGTTTGCCATGGAAGCCAATGATAGGGGGGTGCGTGCACTGCCTTGAGCCGCATCCCCTGACCATATCTTACTCTTCACGTCGTTTCCATTCTCATTTTCGGATCTTCTCGGCTAAGACTTGCGGGAGTACTATGGGTTCTTCGCATTGCTACAGGAAGTGTGGGTCGACTTCGAGATGCCGTAATATATATATTCGTTTTCTTTTCTTCTTCCTCACCACCTCGATTTATTGACCGGGTCTACTTAGCCTCACACTTTGCTTCACCTTAGACTCCATACCCTCTCCCTGATCCTAGACCGTCTCGGTACTCGATCCCATCAGTTGCTCTCGACGACTAAACGTCCAGATATGGCGGACCTACCACGGCATCAATTGTACCTGCGGTACAAGGATGCCACCAGGTACATCACCACCTGGCTGGTGACAAAAGGTCGTGAGACACGGTTTGAACAGCGTCTCCAACATGGCAATCTATCTGTTTCGACACTGCAGAACCTGGCACAATGGATCGTCGACAAGCAACTAGTTGTACCAGAGACAGTCTTGAGGTTGCTAAACCTTGGCATAACCCTGAGAACACAATAAGGCGAGTGTATGGGCCGAGAACATCCGTCTGAGGTCGATCGAAGACATCTCTATTTTATTGACGCCCTGAATTCCATACGCACTACTCTCCAAAACCTCACCAAAATCAGCCAGCACTTCATCAGTCTCGGCCCCGTCAACAAGGTCTGCCCCGCAAGAGAGGGGGTTCCATCTTTTTCAGGCCACAGAGACTTTGTCTACAGAGACTCTGGACACAGAGGTCGAGGCTTGTTCCAATCTTCTGAGTGCTATTCGTGAGTTTATCATGTATCCGTCAGTGTGGGGCACCTGACAAAGGGCCCGGGTTTCACCAGACCCATACCTGATTGCTCATAAGGCGGGTTTTCCTATTTGTTTACTTTTGAACTGAACAACCAACAACTTACTGTAATAACCAATTTTTTCAACCTATTTCTGGCCTTTTGGCCCTCATTTTCGCAGCCAGTGACTTACCTAGGCCACTAGCCCAACAGTCAGTTTACAAGTCAAGAGTCTCTAACACTTTTTCTGGGCAGATATTCAAGATGGCCCAGCGTACCAACTTGAGCCATCGGTTACTATTCATGAAGAAATCTCCCATTTTCGCATGCTCATTGAAGAGTATTGTCAAACCTGTGAAATGGTCCAGTCTTTCTGGGACCAGTACTCAAACAACAAGTCAGCCAAAAACACAGTCAGACCGGCCATTGAGTGGGTTGTCCTCTTGGACCCATCATACAGAAATGCCGCAATCGAACTCCTTATGAAACCTCTCAACACCACCAAAGCAGCAGTCGGCAAAATGATGAACGGAAACCCGTACTTGGGCGTCTATTATGCGCTTTTCCAGCCAGGTCATGGAGCCTTCCCGAAGCCAGATTTTCTTGCGACTTATCGTATGTACAGTAGATGGCACCGTAGCCAAAAAATCAGGTGTGCCCATCGAGAATCCCGCCGCAAACCAGTAACACGTCAATGATGCAGCACAGCAACTGTTTACCATGGGCTCAGCTTCGATCAAATCCAAAGAGCCAACTTTGGTGGACCACCTTAGTCGGATCGTGGCTTCAGACGTCACCGGAAACAGGGTGAGCATGGCAAGCGTCTTTGATATTGAAACTCTTTGCTTGGCTCAGCTCAGGCTGGATACCGATAGGAAAGACCCTGTTCAAACGTTCAAGGACCTTCTCATCTCTCTTACATCAGAAATCAAGGCTTTACCAACGTGGCTTCTGAAGATGAAGGTTGATTCGAATAGGACATTAGATGAGATGCTCGTTCCCACTCGCAGCTATCTTGACAGTCTGCAAAAGGATCAGTGGGCTATCAAGAAGAAGCATGGTGGCTCCACGTCTAGTGTCCCTTTCTCCAAGTTTCACAGATACCCTGTTTATTGTGGTCTGGAAGTACTTCAACTTAGAATCTTTGGCCAAAACGTTGGTCTGGCTATTGAGGAGAGGCTGGGTGGCATCACCGCTGCCATCCAACTGGGCAACGCATTGGGCCAGGAGGGACACCTAGAAGGCCTCGACAAGGGCAATCTCGGCGTCGTTTACAAAGCCCAAAAGCCTTTGAGCCTTTGAGCTTCTGCATCGATTTTGTTCCGCCGTCTGAGAGACCGGATTATATAAGAAGCTACTTTTTAGTAATTGGTGGCTCCGCCATCAGATCAGCACGTCATCATCGACCAAGGCCAGCGGTCTAAGCATCCGCAGCCGGAAGAAGAATCTGACACAACAGGCGCCATTGTCAACGGCCATCTGTGACAGCTTTAAGAATGGACATAAAAAGATTCACCCTCGACGACCGGGATCTTGTCAAGATGCTGTCAACGCACAATCAAGACATGAACAATAAGTACGAAGCCGGTGTTTCCGCACAGCACAGCCCGCTCGGGGATGCCGTGGCATTGATCCAGAGTGAGACCGCATCGCTGGAAACAGATTACCTGCGAGCTGTCAACTCCTCCTGGGCGTGTTTAACGGAGATCCAAGGGGTTTTCGGTGGACCTATGACAACACCGAATGGGCACAGCAACCACCGTGCCCATCCAAGACCAGGTCGATGATTGTGTGGTTACAGCAGGCAGGGTTTTCGACCAGAACACCCTTAACGATAGGGAATTGATGGCACAAATCGCAACGGCATACAAGTCCGCGATCATCCCCAAAGCTTGACCTTATATGCGTTTCCTATGGCGAACTTCCCTACCTTTACCCCGGCCCGTCTCCATCCTCACGCACAACGATCTTACCAAGTTGCTGCGGCTCACAGCACAAGCATGAACAAAATTTACACGAGTAGGGACGCTCAACAGCACAGCCATATCATGGACGCTGCAAGGCTCATGCATGCAGAGGCTGTTGCGCTCGCGACAGACCATCTTACGGCTAGAAACACTGCCTGGGCAGGTCTGAAGCAGCTGCAGTGCGTTCTAAGTCAATCACTGCTACTCAACGACAGGGAGTTGATGGCAAACCTCGCAACAGCTTACAGGACCTCGACATCGGGAGCTTGATCGGCTTCCCTACTCACCCATCTCTCTCTTGTTACACCCTTATCAGTTCCACTACCCCAGATCCTTATTGCACCAGAATTTCTTCTTGAAGCTGAAAAGCTTCAAAACTCTTTCTTCGTAATTTTTAATCCTTGATTGCCTTCTTGTCAAGTCCCTGC